TACAGCAGGCACCATGGTGGATGTATTTTTGCTTATAAAATGTAGAGAATTTGTTCATCATATAATGCTTACATGATGAAATACCAAAAGGGGGCATTTTTAAAGAAAGCCCACCTTATGAAGGAATGAAATCCCAAGAGCTCTTTTTTATTGAAATTAAAATATTACCAGTTGCAAACCAAATGCAATGGCCACAGTTACTGGCAAACTGCTGGGTTTGCAATGATGAAATACAAAGACCAAACTCTTATGAGTTACTTTTAGAGTTCACTAACAAGATTCACCCAAAAAAAAAAAAAGTGGAAATAGGATGCACTCCATGAATCTGACTTAATTAAAGACGACAGGTATGTTTTAAAAGTTTGTTGAGAGTGAGGACTAAAACATAAGCCAACTGACCATAAATCCATGTTTTAAACAAGACATCTAAGTTAAAAATTTTGGGATATTATCCAATTTCTCCAACATGGAATTTCAGAGACCGAATTTAAATTCAACAGCATAACATAGTTTACTGCTCAATTTGTCTGTCTTCTCTTAAAGAACCACAGTTGGGAAACGATCATGAGGAAAATTAATATATGACTAAACTCCAAACTGAAGTCTCCCCTTCTCATCTCAAATCTCTAGAAACTAGGTTTTTGTTTTTTTTTTAAATCCAGAACCATATCAGAAAACAGAAGGCATACTGTTGGTGGATGAGAACTATGAGAAATTCCTGAACAAGAGAAAAAAGGGAAATAAAATTTAAAAAAAAAAAGCACAGTTCCAAACAGACACACAAGTATGTGCTGTACAAAATAAGGACGCTCTAGGCTGACGTGAGACTGAAGGGGTAGACTGCAGGGCAGAGTGGGGCTTGCCTCCACTAAGCCACAGGGTCACTGGTTGAGAAAACAAGTAGAAGCAACAAGAGGAATAATCTTTCCATGTCCCAGCCCTGCCCTTCCCCCGGGGCACAGCATCCAACAAAGGCTGCAGGTGCCCCCAAGTAGGAGCAATGAGTGAGGAAAGTTTATGCGTGAAAAATCAGTCATGCTAGGTATTTTGATACCCTAGAGATATGGTGAACTCCAGTATGAAAAAGGATGTTTCAGTCATTAAAAAAAAATTTACTAGAGATTTCAGAAATTAAAAATTGACTGGCAGAAGGGGAAAATTCAGTAGCTGGAGAAATAGCTGAAGGGCAAAGAAGTAAGTAAACAATTCTCCCATTATGTAGTACAAAAGGACAAGCAGATGGAAAGTATTACAGAAAGGCTGAGAGGTATGGAAAGAGGAGCCAGAAGTGTAAATAACCATCTAAATAAATTAGAAAATTCTTCCAGAGCTGAAGATGTGAACACTCATACTGAAAAGGAACACTGCATGTCAAACAAAATAAATTTTTAAATACACACACACATACACACATGCCTAGTTACATTGTAGTAAAATTTAAGAATAATATGCATAAGGGGAGAATCCTAAAAGCTTCTAGAGGAAAAAGAAAAGCACAGATTACCTATCAAGAAACAAGCATCAGACTGGCCTTAGGCTGCTCATCAGCAACCCTGAACACAAGGAAAACACAGTATAATATCTGCAAAATGCTAAGAGTTATCTTGAGTCTAGAATTTTATACTCAGCCAATTCCAATGAGAAGAAAAAATGCAGGTTGATTTTCTACTGGGCAAGAACTTGAAGATTTTATTTTTTAATTTCTCGGAAAGAAATATTAGAGGATATACTCCAGCAAAAAGAAAAACCACTTCAAGAGGAAGTAGCAGAATACAAAAATCAACAAAGAAACAATAAATCTTCAAAAATGTTAAGTAACAATCTAAAAATAAAATCCCAGATGATAACAATCTGAGAGGAGGGAGGAGAAAGTAAAGGGAAGTAAAAGTATCTTTTCTCATCTTGTTGGGGGTTATCTCTAGATACTTAGAGAAAAATGTGTTTAAATATGTGTGGTAAATATGTTGGCACTGTATATTTACAAACACAGAAACGTAATTTATAGTTTTCAAACAGTTAAGAAAAATAAAACAAAGAACACTACCACTAGAAGAAAATGAAGGGAAGCCTTACAGAAAAGCAGACGAAAGATATAAATAGGCAATTCACCGAAGAAACTCACAATGTCTAATAAACACAGAAGATAACGGTAGTCAAGAAAATGCAAACTAAAAAGAAATGACATACCATTTTTAGAGAGACCAAAAGTAAGACGTTAGCTCATGTCAAGGAATACTTTGCTGAGGTGGTTATAAATTGGTACGACTACTTTTTAATGTGCAAATCATGTTAACCAAAAATTCTGCTTCCTGGTCGCTAATATACTTACTCTAGAAAAACCTTTGCGTCTGTACACATGTATGAAGATCATATATAAGGATGCCTGTTAAAACATTTTATAGTAAAGTGGGAAATGTCCATCAATATGGAAGACTCAATATAATTAAGGTATGTTCTACCATGAATACCATGCAATGAGTAAAAAGAATATGAAAGAGCTATGACTACTGCCCTGAAATGGTCACAAACAAGAAAAAGACAAGCTTTATGTGTAAATGTAGGAAATTATTTTTGCAACAAAATGTACCAATGCTATTTGTGCAATTATAAATAAATAAAATATATTTGGAAAGAAAATAAAAATTGAGAAAGAACAAGATACTTTAAGAACACAAAAAATAAGTCTATCAGTTAACCTTTTCTTTTTTATCATTTAATTTTTTTTATTCTGGACTAGAACATTATTAATGAACAACCTTCATTCTGGAGAGCAATTCAGAGAGGGGATGCCAGTAACCAACTATTTCCAAGGCCAACCCTGCCCCACAGTAACCTTTGGGCCACATCACTTCTGGAGCTTTAAATATATCTATGAAAAGGCTTCTGTAAGTGAGTTTCTCACCACCACAATCAGAAAACACTAGAGATCAGCACCCCAACAAGATGACATCTGTAGTTTTAAAGAAACAAAACCAAATCAAGCTCTTGAGTGAGATTACCAATCAGTCACATGAATGGTAGCCTGTAGTCAACTGGGTGACCCCTATGGAGTCTTAAAGGAAATCTATCATAGGGGCCACCTCACCCAGGCAAGATGGGGTTAGGTCCTGGGAGTGGACCAACTGGATCAAAACATGGTCTGAGTGGAGAGAACTGGCTGCGTGTCTCCCCAGGCCCAGGAATGAGTGAGTGGGTCCCCAACATAGGGAAGTGTTAGTCTTTCAACATCTTTACTACCAATAATTCCTGGAGGAAGGAAAGCAGTTCGGCTTTCCTAATGCTGCTTTTTGAAAAGCACCATTGATGTTGAAATTAACTGTGAATGTTACCATAAATGTAATCCTTCAGTCATAATCAAATACATGTCCTCTGGCAGTGGTTTCAAAGCCTCACTCACATACACACAATTCATTGACTCATTTGTAGGAAATAAATTTTAAAATATTGAAAATTGCCAAACTGGTCAGGAAAAATTAAAACCAGTTCACTCCTACCCCAATCACAATGGTCTATCAACAACACATTAGGTGAGCGTCTTACAGGAATGCTGTCAAGACAATATGGCCAAAAATTAAAATTAAAAAAATCAAATTGGTTTCAGGCAAGGGCAAAGCAGATGTCTATTAAGAGGCCTTTTGTGAAATCAGAGCAGGAGTCAGATGCTTTCTCTTTTTCCCTCTCAGTGGTTGCTGAAACAGCGTGGTCACAACAGCCACGGGGCTGTGGGAGCCGGCCAAGTGGCCAGGTGACTTGACATTGCATTTCTTGTCCCTCAAGGCAATGTCTTTGAGCAGTACAAATTTATATCAGAACAGAGAACAGTTATCCTCTTATCAATCAGGAAAAAATAGCTACAAAATTTTTTTTAAAGTATTGGCTATTAACCAAAGCCAAGGGACGCTGACAAGGGAATGCAGCCTGATTCCCCCATTATGAAACCAAAGGGCTCGAGTTACAACAAAAATCTGTGGCAAGGGTAAACTGCTGTCTCCTAAACCCCCTCAGGGGAAGAAACTAACACTTACCATTCCTTTATTACATTCTCATTAAAAACGAGCAGCAGTGATATTCTCCTTAAACGAAAATTGGCTCCAAACTAGAGGCTCCTTTCAAAACAAAGAACTGGATATTTATGGTTAATCTACAGAATCCTCTCGGACAAGAACCAGGTGCTACATGGCTTTTTTGCTGTGTCACCAGCCACAAGGCCAGAAGATCAAATTGAACTGTGAACTGATTAACTGGCTGACTAACTGATTACAATTTCAACAGAAGAATGATACGCATGTGTCGGTATAGCCGAGGTATGTCACAAGAGCCCTCAGCAGCAAAGTCCTAACCAGAACACTTGGATTTTCCTTTCTTGTGAACACACTGGCACTCCCAGAGCTGCAATTTTATCATATGGTGCCCTTTTAAATTCTGGAAGTACAATGCTGAGGAGAGGAGTGAGGGACAAGAGTCAAGGAGGAGACTGTAAACCCAGACATGGGGGCAGCATGGATAAGGGCAGATCTGTGGTGCCCCATCAAGAGACACAGACATCTGGCTGCAAGACAAGTTTAAGGGAATGTTCTGGATTGAACTGAATGTTCCTGTGCCACCAGGACACGTTATCCCCCTGAGATCCTTCCTCTGCATGGCCTGAGTGCCAATCAAGTATATACGTGGCCAGTGAAGTACCACATTCTCCACAGATACTTTTTGGATGGATGAACAAACAAATGAACAAAGCAACAAAGGAATAAACAGTGCATTTTTTTCCCTATGCACTTTAAAGTCATCCATCCAGAATTAATAGTCTACTTGCAAAGAAAACTCAGCAAAGTAGCTCCCAGCTGATTTCTCCAGACTGCACACAAATGTTGCCTGACTCCAGGGACAGCAGCAGCGTACTATATAAAATCCGGGTGGTGGTAACTTTCCTGGGCTTGCTACCATACCAAGGCAATTAGAAGACTGAACAGCCAGTAGAACTCATCAATTTAAAAGTAAATTACCACAATTGGGTATCTGCAGGTTTGCCAGCGAAATATTCCTGCTGTTTTCATCGAGACAGTACAAATCCTGAGTTTCTGGACTGGTTTTAATCTCCTGAAGAGTCTTGATCCACATAATGTCACAGGAGCATGTAAATGGATTGCCCACCAGGACCCTACATGGAAAAAAAGTGAAATCCAATCAGGCTTCTCTTTTTCAGTTTTAAGTATTGTAAGTCCCTTTTTTTTAATGAAAGAACTGGGGACTGAACCCAGGACCTTGTGCATGCTAAGCATGCGCTCTACCACTGAGCTATTTCCCTCCCCAGTTTCAACTATACAAGTGTTTATGAAGCATTAACATTATAAATCCTTTCTAGTCGGCAATTTTTGGAAGTCACACCAATCTTTATAGCATAACAGTACTTATTATTCAATCATTTACCTATTACCTACTCATCTTCTGCTACGTGCAAACACCTCTGTAGAGAATAAACGGACTAATAGGGAAACAAGATAGGAACAGAAGTAACTATAATGCAGAATACGAAAGGATGTCTCATAAGTTGGGGGAAAATAAAATGTCACAACAAATTTATCACAGTTATTACACAGTTAAAAGGAAACTCTTAAGTGAAGAAGCCAACTTAACGTTAAGTTTCAGGAACACTAACATACTTCTTTCTTTTTTTTTTTTAATTGTTTTCTTGCAATGAGAACTTTAAGATCTACTAATTTATTTATTTATATTTTGGGAGATTTACTTATTTATTTATTTTTAGAGGAGGTACTGGGGATTGAACCCAGGACCTTGAGCATACTAAGCATGTGCTCTACCACTTGAGCTATACCCTCCCCACAACATACTTATTTCTAACCAGGCCAGAGATTCAAGTGTTGACACTTAATAAGTTCAAACGTCAGTGGATGGCAGAGCAATTTCATCTTCATTTAAAATGAGACTGTAAATACCATGTTAAGACAAGTGTGACAGCCAGTAGGGTGTCACGCCCAGCTTTCCGAGCTACACAACCACTGTTCAGTTTGATGGATGCAAAAAAGGTGGAGTGACTATGAGAGAGAGAATCTGGAAAGGAACTCTTAGACCTCTTTCTCACACACGCGCGCGCACACACACACACATACACACCCCAAGCTCAGGGTTTCTGAGAGCAAGGGCAACTGAGCTCTACGTTGAGTTACTGAGCCCACTGTGGAAGGGTCTGCAAAGACAGAGCCACTGTGCAGCCATGCTGCCTGGGCTCCTGTGGCTGTGATTGGTGAAAGAGGAAGTAGTCAAGAGGAAAACAAAAACCACAAGAAAAAAAATCTTTAAATGTTTATTTATAATACTCAGTGGCCTATTTAAGATGAATTCCATTTATGGTAATGAGCCTTTAACTGAGGCCATTTAAAATCATTACATAGGCTGTGCCGGGCATTAACCACAATACTTAAGTTTTCCACGAGGACAGGACCTGGGCTTTGCAACATCATTGACTCCTGTGGTTTTCTGGTTGGGTTCTAAGAATCTCAGGGATCCCTGGAGACTTTTCTGGGAATTTCTTTGGGGAAAATGTGGTCACGGCAGACTCGTTTAATTTGTGTCTGCTTGACTGCCTCAAGTATCCCTCCAACACCAAATTCGATGCTACTGGATATGGACTATAATGTAGAAGATAGCCACAATGTTGAAACCCCAGCTAAGCCAAGAGGTTTCCTGGTGTTCTGAGTCCATGAAAAACCAAGCAACCTTTTTTAAAAAGAATGTATGACTGAATCCACAAAAGAAATAAGGAAGCAAAGGGATCTTCCGTGATAAATCCAGCAGTGTTCATATGACCACACATTACGGGCAGACAGCTGGCTTAACTCCTTTTGCAGTAATTGTTGGAACACGTTACACTTAATTTGTTTGGGCCTCTACATCTCCCACAGGAGAGCAGAATCCTGAGACACAGAAACTGCTCACCTATATCACATGGCCTAGTGCCATGTTAGTTTGATTTGTAACAGGCACACAATGAACATTTGTTGAATGAATTGATTAAATATCCTGCAGGGAGAGTACTGAGATGTGTGAATTTGAAATTGGAACTCTAATTTTTAACCCATCAAGAATATGTTCCACAGTGATGCTCAAAATTTTTACACTGAGTATCCTACTCTATTTCACGTATCTTTTAAGTTTTTTACACCTACTCTTGTGTCAGAAAGCCAGTGCTTAACTCCCTGAATTAAGTTTATTCAAAAATAATTGCCACCATGTAACTCTATTACCTATTAACTTGTTACCTCTCTACTAGTGGTATCTTCTAATCTGCACAATTTCCTTATGAATAAGGGTGGACCCTACAGCTTATGCAACATATAGTTTAAGCAAAGCTATTGCCTGGTATTCAAAGGCCTGGTCCATCTGGGCCCACCTCTGACACACAGAGCATGTGCTTTAGGGTTCTTTGGGTACCTTACCCATAGGAATGCCAACGGTTTATTTTTGCTTCATGCTTATAATACAAGCATTAAGCACACTTGGAAATGCTATTAGTCATCAATACATTTCAATATTTTTTCCTATCATTTTACAGCAAAGGGAATTTGGGCATAAGGATAAATACTGAATGTAATGGCAGACCTAGAAGAAAATCTCACAAGGTGGATAGAAAGAGGACTACCTCTTCTTCAATGTTCACTAAGGGCGAGAGGGCACTGTCATTGGGGGACAAACTGAGGGATTTCGTCCACTCCTATTTCCTCCTTGAATGGGTTTGCTTTCCATTAGGGCCTGGACATAACAAGGACCAAAGAGATGCTGTGAGACATGCCACCATCTTTCTCACACAAAACCCTCATCTTTTCCTCTTCTCTCCTTTAGAAAACAAGTCTTTTATGTAAAAAACAACATTTCAACCCATAATAAATGATATCTTACTACTGACATTTCTGTTTTTTTACTGCTGAATCATGTTTTCATGAGGGAATAAAAGAATAAGTAGCCAAAATTTGAGACACAGGTTTTCAAGAATTTTGATATCAAAATAGATCAGCATCATCTCTTATTTAAAAAAAATACTGAATTACACTTTCCTTTGAAAAATTTTCCCCAAATGCCATATAGAGTCATTACTTACAGTTCAGACAAGTCAAGGTGACGAAAATGTTTCCGAGACAAAATTGCCAGTTTATTTCGGGTAAAATTGCTGAAAAGAATCAAAGCATTAAATGTGAATTGAAAGTGCACATTTCAGGAGTAAAGTACTCAAATAGAATTTTTTCAAAATATATTTTTTTTTTGATCATGATTCATGCCTTACTTAGACCCAACAATCTCTTTTGCCTAGAGATCACTAGCTTAGTCTTCTTGCCTCTCCTATAATTCTTTCCTGGGGGTGTGGTTGGCAGGGCATAATTCTCATAATGTCTGTTTTTAATCTTTTTTACCCAAAAGTTTATTTTTCATATTCAGAGCCCAGTAATATACCTCCTGAAGATATCCGACCCTCTTAACAATCAGTAGGAGGGTTAAATTAAACTAAACTAAATTTAAACCATAAACTCATTAGGGAAAAGATGCTTTAAAACTAAAGAGCATCATGAATATTTTGAAGTGAGGTAACACACAAAACTCTGAACATGAACTGAATTTAACATATCCTAATAGGAAAGATAACGCCTATTGATCGATAAACTCTGCCGAGATTGTTTACATAAGACTTCCAAATAACCAGATAATTTAATAATGAGAATACCAATAATAAAATATCAAAGACAACAAGGAATATGTCAGATTTTATCTGGAAACATTCTAACAACATATCATTTTAAGATGTGGACCAACCAACAGTGAAAAGATGTCCTATTTGTGATTGAAAAACACTAATGAATTTACTGACATGTTCCAAACACGTAGTTTTATTCAAGGGACAGGAGTTTCAGTTTCCAACAATCAATGCCGCGAGACCTTGAGCCAGGAAATTCAGAGCCATAATTTGCCAGCTGACCCTGCAAATTTGTTTACTGGTCAAATTTATTTAAAAAGTGTGCAGTGCTTAAGCCTCTAGATATGTGTTTAATAAGTAGCATGAATATAAAACAAACAACAACTTTTACAAAAACAGTCGCGCCCTCAACAATTTGAGATAAGCCTTTCGGTATCAGATTCCTGCCCAGGAAAGTGAGTGCTGGGCTGAGTCAGGTAGGAACATGAGATCTGAGGTGACAGCAATCCAGGCCCCGCTGAGGCTAGTCTGTTGTGTCCACCCCCAAAACTCATGGGTTGAAGTCTCCTGGTATGTCTGGCCAGTCTCTTTGCCAAGAGGGGTTAAGACCTGGACGTGTTAATGCATGAACTAAGACTAGTCAGTTGATGGATGAAGAAAATGCTACTTCAGCATCTTGTAGTTCAAGAAGGCATGTAGCCACTCCTGGCTTAAGTCTATATTGAGATTTCCTCTCATCCAAACCCCCATCTACATGAGGTGATCTCTTCCTTCTACCCCTGCATCTTCTCTCTTCACACCGAGTGTAAAGTGCTCACCCACATGAAAAAGTAATTCGAGCAGGAAGTTGTAAAATGTGCCCACATAAATCTTTTCTTTTGGAACTTGAATTAAGAATGGGTTTCACTGATGTAGAATATATTGAGAAGTCAGTCTGCCTGTCTTCACCACCGTCTTGAGGCACAAATGAATTTATCTTCATCAGGAACCCCAACTCTTGGGGGGAAGCGGGGGAGGAAGGGATAAATTGGGAATTTGGGATTGGCAGATACAAACTAGTATGTACAAAATAGATAAACAACAAGGTCCTACTGTACAGCACAGAGAACTGTAGCCAACAGCTTGTAATAACTTACAATGGAAAAGAATATATACATATATATGTAACTAAAACACTATGCTGTACACCAGAAACTAATACAACATTGTAAATCAACTACACTTCAATTAAAAAAAAGTTTAAAAAAAAAAGAAATCCCAACTCTTCCAAAAGGAAAGAAAACAAACAGAAAACAAACAAACAAGCAAAATTCCTACTCTTCCTCCCAAGAAGAATAAGGAGAGAGGAGGCAAAGAAAGAGGACTGTCACGGTCAAGGTTTTGGGTCAGCTAGCAAGGCGGCCCCAGGGCAGCTGCCCTGCCTGGCTGCCAGCAGCCCAGCCCTGAGCAGGGTTACACGCCAAAGAACAAGATGAGTTTTATGAACCATACTTATTATTGGGACCGAAAGCCAAAAAGGAGGAGGGAGGGGAGGGAAAAAAAATCAACAATCCTCTTACTGTTTGATTACAGAACTTTGCAAAGGAGCTAATTAGCACCTCTGCAAAGCCCCTGGAAAACACAAATACTGGCTTTTCTCACAGTCTCTGGGTTCTCAGGGGCCGGGCAGGAATTAAAGGCACCAAGAAATAAACTCAGGGACCAGTCATAGGGGATCTGGACCATTCCCATGGAATGCTAAATACACACAGTGTAGGAGAAGAGTGATGAAGATGGGAGACAGGGTCCAATCTGAATTTCCCTAAAACCTGAAGTGAAACAGACAGGTCTTCTGTATATTTTTATATTGTTGGGGAAACTCAGAGAGGTAAGCAGTACATCCCAGGAGTAGAGAGAAACAGCTCCTCATACACACTTCTTTATCAGTTCCCTCGCAGCCATGGTATTGATATTCAAGGAAGGGTGCCATTACTACGTGTGGGACATCAGGGAGAACACACCAATGCGCCGGGTCCTTACTCATAAGCAGAGGTTGACACCAAGGCCTGGAAAGACAGGCACCTGACTTAATCCTCTCCTCCCTGCCGTTCTCGAAAGCCAATGACTTCAATTTCTACTTTGGCACTTTGGAGCCTCTTTTATCACGTGACTGTATGAAGCCTCCTGGCACTGCGACTTCTTCATAACTGTACACTAGCCTGATTTTATGCTGTCTTACTATTTGACGATGGCCACAAAAATCAAGAGTTTTTGCAGTCTGATCAATTATTAGGCTTCCCAACTGTCAGCTTTTAAAGAAAATATATAAAATATGTCCATATCCCTCGTTTCCTATTTTCAAATGACACCTCCTTGGAGACTGCAACAAACATTTGGCTTTATATAAATTGGTACAGCACACAGAATACATTAAAATTAGTCTCCTATATATCACCCTGAAAAAAACACAAAAGGTAGTAGCTTTGGTTTTCATATAAATAGCATGGGACAAGGAAAGCAGGGGAAATATAAGAGGTATAGTAAAGTAATAAATAAGTCTATTTCTAAAACTACAGTTAACCAAGGCCCACTGTTTAGATCACAACATTAGGGGAAGTGATGTAAACCAGCCAGTAAAAAGTGGTTGTTGAGTAATGCAGGTTTACAGTCATCAGGAATGAAAATACCAGAACTTAACCACTGAGGTCATTAATTACACTCAAGTGGTTGCATTAGAGCATTTTGCCTTTTTCTTGTATCCAACTTTCCCTTGTTTATGCTAGCAAGGCCTACACAAGACATCAGATTTCCACAGGCAAACCAGCTACAGCAATGGTGCCAAAAAGCCTTTAAATGAAATGTGTTCATAAAGTTCCTTGGAGTTTTATCACATTTTTGGCAAATGTTTTATATCTTAATTCTACAGACTTGATTTTTAAACTGACTTCAACATTAACGCCACCTATGAAACATGAAGTCACCATGCTGGCTTGATGAAATTAAGGTTTTTCATAAGGTCACCAAATCTCCTTAGAGTGTCCAGGCAATCAGCTCAGAGAGAATGATTTCTTTTATAAATGGCCTGGAAATCCATCAGGCAACTGTTCTCCCCAGGAAAAAGAAAGAGGACAAATGTTACAAAATGGGCTGATTCTCTCATGATATGGAGAGTACACATTTTATTTTCTGTGTTCTTATGGAAAGAACATGGCCACAAGTGAGTCCTAGAGTCAAAATTCAGCCACTTTGCATCTGTGGACCTGAGTCTTATTTTATTTATGAAATGGGAATCAAAAAGATCTTTCCTACCAACTGTCAGAAGAATCAAGTGACATAAAGCAGGTGAGAGTCCTACAGGTAGATCGTAGACCACGAAACACATAAGGTATTGTTGCAGAGAATTTTCAAAGCACGAAAGGGCTGGTGAACGCAGGCAACACTCCTCCCGCAAAAGCTCCTACTGAAAACTCAGGGTGTAGGGGCCACCAGTCTGAGCTTAGGGGTGAGTGATCCTCCGTTTCATGAAGAAACATCTCAGGAAGCCCACACCTTATTGACCAAGTGCCACCATCTAACAGGATTTAGCAGCAAACAACCTAAGAGCCCCCATTATCCATACTCCTGTTTGACTTCAGCTGACATCAACCTGACTTCAGTAGAAGCATTTGCTATTGTTACAATCGTCTGTACCTTTGGCACGTTCCATGATTGATTTTTCTCCACTTTTATCAATCATGACAGATAGCTTTTGGAAAATGAACGTTCAAAAGAGGATCTATTGGAGGGAGGAAGAGCATTAGTAATTTTTAGTTCCCTAAAAAGGCCAAGGCCAAGTCAGTTTTTTTCAAGTCCACTAGTTTGATGGCTTCCAGAGGACATGTCATGAGTCCAAGGAAAAGAATGAGAATTGAGAACGCTGTACCAGGACATAGTTTTCACATCAGACTCCTTGCTGTTGGCCTATTGCTCCGTCCAAGATGGAAATGACCCAGAAATTCATGAAAGGAAATAAGCAGGCTGTTCTAAGTACCCCTCTGAAGCTATTCAGAAATCAAAGCTAATGCTTCTAAGCTGTTGTCAAAGCTATACTAACTTAAAAAAAAAAAGGAGATTTCTAGTTGGAAAAGAAGGAAAATAAACAGAGGGGGAAAATATTGAATAAATTGGGTCCTGGGAAGCAAAATAATCCACCTTTACTTACATGTGCTGTAAGTTGCTGTTTTTCAGAAATGCTTTAGGAGCCACAAATTTTAATCCAGAATCCACAATGGTCCTAAGAGAGCACAGAATTGCATGGGTGTTAGAGCTCACGGACGAATGGCCCTTTGATTACAATAAAAAATAAGAAAAAGTTAAGAGATAAGGTTATGCGAGTCCCGAGTACTCACAGATTTTTCAGTCCCACATAAGCTTCCACATCATCTTCACTGATGATTTCTAATCTCTTCTGATTTGCAATGTAACTGCAAAAAAAAAAAAACAAAACAGTGAAAACTAATGACTCAGAATGCAGGCGGTCCATGAAAGAATGGGTAACTTCCATGCAGCCTTACCAGGCTACTCAAAGCCAACTCTCCCCACCCACCTAGCCCCACCATATATTTTAAATACAGCAAGGGGAACGAAACTGAGTGTGACTGAGGAGAAGCCAGGGTTGGACAGGTTTCATAATCAATGACAGGTTTACCAGGTTTCATTTTTTCTTATCCTTTCATCATTTTTTCAACTAGTAAGTTCAGTTAGCCTCCCCTTCAAGGTATCTCCTGTGCATAGAGGTGAAAATAACTTGGAAATGTAGCCACTATCTCTCAAAAGCGTTTCACCTTTGCAGTGACAGCCACATACACAGCACAAATCACTTTTCCTCATATGCTAAGAGGAGTTACTCACTCTTTTACCTCCTGAAACACTGAAGCTGATTCTCCTCCCCCTTTCTCTCACTCCCTTCTGTCTCCCTTTCTTCCAGCTCTCTCTTTTTCTGGCCCAGGATCTCCTATTTCTGCTTTTGTCAGTAATACAACCAACTTTTCCTTTCAGGAATCACATTTCATAAGCCCCACATCGCCCTAGTGCACTCTGTGTAGAAACCCTCCTTTTCCCCACTGGCCAAGCCCTCAAATACAGGAGTAAACTGGTAACCCTGGCTGGACTGAGAGTTTCATCCCCTTGGCCACAATAACTGGCTTAGAAATGTGCATGTGATCTCAACTAGACCAGTGAGAAGCTTCCTTAAAATTAAAAGATGAATGCTGAGACAGAGAGTCTCTCTCTGTTTCTCTGAGATGACAGCTGAAAGATGACACAGGCCTGGGGCTTCCAGGGGAAATATTTCTGCTACAAGAAAAGAGACTGTCCAAGAATGAAGTCAGCACACAGGAGGAGAGGGAGCTAAGAGACATAAAGAGAGACAGAACTCTGAAAATGCCACTTGAGCCTTTGGATCCAATCATTTCTGAGGTTAGCTATCACTAACAGAAGTTTGATCTGAATTTCTGTCACCTGCAACCAATAAAATCCTTGGTAATACAAACACAAAGCTATTAAACCTACTACCATGGAATTTCCCTGTGCAACAGTTATCTGAGTACCCTTCTATTCACTTCTCTGAGACCACAACCTCTTTTTGAGGACAGTTGGATCCTGTTTTATAATTCTTAACATGCCCTACAGCATCTAGCAAAGCGCCTTGCACTAAGCAGGTATCTATGGATGAGAAATGGATGGATGGATGGATGGACAGATAGATAAACAACACCCGGCGTTCCAAAGGCTCTTCAGGAAGTTGTATTAGGATTGACTTTTCCCTTTTTTTTTTCCAAAAAATTTGAGATACATAACATTCCAATTAAGACACTGCAAACAAATATGTAACCCTACTGTTAACAACATGAGTTAAAATGAAAAAATAGTAACCAATGAGGGAGAGACATAGCATCTATAAGTCCCTTCTATCCAATTCAAAAAGAGAGAAAAGATGTCAGAATACACGATACATGGTAAGTGCTGCAGCACCCATTTTTAGAAAATAAATTTTAGAAATAAGGCAAAATAAGTAAATGCTCTGAGGGAACAAATTACACCAAAGAGAAAGAAATTTAAAAGAACCCACATAAACCTTGTCCCTGTTACATAAAAAAGCAACACTCAAGACAGAAGGGCATCTTCTGCTCAAAGATCTCGGTTCTCCCTGATCCCGGGAGCCTGACACAATAGATGTGCAGGAAGGATGCATCCCTTTCTCTCCTGCTATCACACACAGAGGGAAACATTTTAAGACTCCAACTGAGTGATCAAACAGCAATTTTCAACATCAAGAGTCTTTATGAAATGTTTCAAAATCATCATACTTTAGGAATATTTGTTCCTAAGATTTCCAATCCATTTTCAGCAAAAACCACAGTCACCTCCCTTTTCTAAATGATCTCCCATAAGAACTGTATTCAAGAGAGCCCCACATTTTAATGTTTTTTTTTTCTATGCAACTGGCAGAAAAAAAGGACAAATAACGTAGGCAAGGTTCCCTTTGGAGCCACAACCAGGATTCTAGAGAAGCCTGTTCATGCCTCACAGCTGAGCAGCATGGTGGCTGCTGCTGCTCCGCAATCACCCGAGAGTTCCTCAGCTCCCTGCCTGGATTACCCCTGCATCCTCCACGCTTGTGACAGCGGCCCAACACTTAGGAGGGACTTAATCAGCATCCGTGGCACAGAGCATTTATTTTAACGTTTCTGTTAGTTATTTATGCCCTTTATTTTTTTGTTATTTCATTTTCATCAGATTTTTCATTTATAAACTCCCCAACTGTATTCAATAAAATGCATCTACTTATTGGGAAAGGGCCACAAGCTTAATTTGAAGCTTTTTTAGTGATCATGCCCAAGAAAAGAAGGAAAGGGGGATACATTTAGTCAGGGGTAAACTCATAATGTTTCACGAGATGAAAAAAATCAGGAGTTAAGCAAAGTGTAACTGTTCTTGAATTTAAGACCAGACAACAGATTTTGCTGCAAACAATCAAAAAAATTATGTGAAATTATGAAAAATGGTCACTAAAGAATACTCTTCCACTGTGGAGGTAGGAATGCCCTGGATTAAGAATGAAATTTTCTCCTGCTCAAAATGGAAAAAACCAACAGAAGAGCCATATTAAAAAGTCAGCAAATGCCCCTCCAGATGCCAAGAACCTTCCATAAGTTACCAGCTGCAGAGATGCCCACAACATAGCTGCTGGCTATAAACTGCTCATGAAATCTACCCCTTAAGGAACGCTTCCTGGATACCATTAAGTGAGGAGGAATCATAGGGTTAGAATGGAAGTCAGTAAAGTTAATAACAGACGATTCACAGAGGAGATACCTCCATGGCCAAGGATCATATGAAAAGCTGCTCACCTCTCAAGGAATCTGAAATGCAAATTAAAACAACGTGGACATACCATTCTTCTCCCACTAGCTGGACAAAATGTTTAAAGTCTGACAAAATAAAGCATTTCTAAGGATGGGAGGGGGCGTATTTCTCTTACATTGGTTAAGGAAGTATAAACTGGCACAACTACTTTGAAGAGTAATTTGCCAGTATCCTGGAAAAGTATAAATCACACACTTTATAGAGTTCAACAATTCCATTTCTAAGGAGTTCACCTGAGAGAAATTCTCACACATGCACACAAGGAGACACATACAAAAACATTCACTGTAATACAGTCAGAATCAAATGCTGGAAACAACTCTTGTCCATCAATTAAGAAATAGAACAAAATAAGGGATGTTAGATAAGTAAGTTAGATTGAACCAGATTTTTATATTTGAACAGAAAGAAATCATCATGCCAAATGAGAAAAAAATAAGCAAAATCTTATACTGATCTGTACATATAATACAAAACAGTTTATGTGAACTTTTAAAAAGACACAGCAAACTATATCACATCACATTCATGGTCAAGGATGCTTGTAAAGTATAAAAAGAAGATTCAAGGAAGGTCACCTTGGAAAGGGAGAATGGGTCTGGGATAAAGAAACTTCAACTGTTAAACTATTTTATTAAACTACTAAACTGTTTCTTTTCTTAAAAGGGAAAGGTCTGAATATAAGTAACTGAAGTTAGTGTTACGTCATTATATATATATTTTTTAATTTTTTTAATGTATGAAGAAGAAAAAAAGGAGGGGAGGGAGGGGAGGAAGAAGAGAGGGAAAGAGAGAGGGAGAGACAGAGTTGGAAAAAGCCACAGGGGAAATGACTGTAGGGAAACTGGACCCCAAGGCTTCTCATTTATGAGGTAACCAAATACACCTGGGCTCAGGTCTTTGGTTCCTTGGACCACTTAAAGGCAAAGAGTCTAAAAGGCTTCTGCTCCCTGCCCTGGAGCCCCTGGACAAGAGCAGAAGACTAAGGAGCATGCTGGGCTGCCCCCTACTGGTGACCTCCACGTGCCTCCACCAGGATCTTGGCGACATCAGGTCTTTGAGCTCTACCATCTCATCACTGCCACTGATCAGAAAAGCAGCAGCTGCAGAGACCAACCCAGGGTTAGGAATGAGAGGGGAAGGGCCAGGCCAGGGCAGACAACTGAAAGATGATGCATCGACAGGCAACGCAGCAGGCTTTTATCCCCCCACCCTACCCCCACCCCCAGAAAACGATCTCTTGTCACTCCAGTCAAAGTGCTGTCAAACTGAGGGTTCTTTACTGAGTCGAGTTGTGCTTAATAAAACATATTTCAAGAAGGGTTTCACTCCCAATGAAGCAGTGGAAAGGCCCAGCATTTTGGTACTTTCTCTCCATGACAACCCGTAACTCCTTGGAGGCACGCCTACTGTTCTGGAAAGCTCAGGCCCCGGGGGTTTTAAGGCACAAGCCCTCCCCCAGAGCCCGTGCCCTAGCGCTCCTGTGAGTTCAGCCAAGCCTAAAAGCATCTGCCCCTCCACTCTGCAGATGCTGCCTTCCTTCTCTTTGAGGAAAGTCAGCTGCCTTTAAATAGTGACAAAGAGACTTGGTGGACTGGGATTTTTTAAATCTGATACTCCTTAAGAATGTTTCTCCCTTACCTCCTTGGTTTCCCGGTCCCCCAGCCCACCCCTCCATCAGTGATCCGTGCGGAATCGTTGGCCTTCATCCATGTTGTTTTGCCCAAATCCACCTTCCCCCTTCCCCAAATCCATAGAGAGGGCCCTTGCTTGGACCTCACATTATGAGAGTTGGTTTTTATTGCTGTTTTTCACTTTCACTACATCCAAAGTCCACTATTAACTGCCCTAAGAGTTGGATCTCGTATTCAACAGGCTTCTCAATGAGCTCACCTAAAACTCTTTGGGGCCTCTACAATACCTGAGACACTGCTTGATTTATGGGCAACACCAAAAAGGCTTTTTCCAATCAGAACATTTTTATTCCATCAGTCGACAGGCATTTTTAAGCATTCATTTTGCTTCTTAACTTTAAAATTGAGAATTAGAGGGAATG